GGGAAAGAGAGAGAGAGAGAGAGAGAGAGAAAGAAGGAGAGGCGCAGTCAAGTGGAGGGGATAGAGGCGCAACCCGAGCGGTGCTGCCGCCTACTGGCAACGTCGCGTCGGCTCCCCACCCGGGCCAGTGTCGAGCGAGGTCCGATGGAGAGTGCTTTACAGTAGTGTGATTATCCCTCGAGACGTCGCATAGTGCCGAGAGAACGTTCGTTCGTACCCTATGCTGGCAGAGTGAGAGACGAGCACTGTAACGCATCTAGTGCGCGCATTTTCCCTATTTATTCCTATTTTGACGTGTATATATATATATATTATATATATATACGCGTATATAATTATAATTATTATAATACCGAATCATTACCATAATTTATATACCTAATGAGAAAACTGCATGTCAAAGTGATGCATGGAGCAAACCAAATACCTTGTAAGTAAAAAAAAAAACTTTAGAAGGAAATAAAAGTAATGCTTTCAGTCCAAAAAAAAACATGAAGCTCAGTAAAAAAGCGTCCGGCCTGCAACACAAACACATACATAATTACGCGCATTCTTAGTTCTAAGTATTCTTAAGTATACATAGTATGTATCTACTCGAGAGTTCTTTTGAAGAATATTAATTGCTATTACCGAAGAGCTTTCGTCTATAATCTTAGATTTCTAAATTTTGTTGTTATGAATTCTTTAATGAACGTTTAAACTTCTTAAATTCCTCCAGCTTTTTAATTCTTAAAGTCTAACTTTTATGTCAATGGATCTCTCCTTGCTGCCTGCTTCCTTCATTCCATACAATTTCTCTTTGATGATTTATTTCGCAAAGTTGAGCCCTTTGAATTCTTCATTTCGCTTTTTTCATATTTTTTTTTTTTTATATAACGCACATTTTCTCACGTCTTTTCGGATCTCTCTGTTTGCGAGAATCGACAGAGTCCGTAACGTCGCTCGGTACTCTCCCACCACCGTGATCGATTTCCCACGCGACGCGCTTACTCGCGCCGCACTGGTAAGGGAATTGACGAGGGTGAAGTAGGATTCCTCGGTGAAGAGCGGACGAGACACGGCAACGCCGCTCGTGATAGCGGCGGCGGCGGCGGCGGCGGCGGCGGCGGCAGCAGCAGCAGCGACGGGGACGGCGGACGACGCGGCGTTTTACGGAGCAACGGCAGCAGGCGGCGTTGGTGCTGCGCCCCGACGGCCGTCGATCGAAGCCTGCGTTATCGCAATGGCTTCCGTGAAAGACACCGCGACTTTTTTTGCGGAGGGCACCGCGACACAATTCGAACACGTTTTCAAACTTTATCCACAGGCGTTACGCCTCAAGGCCGATCACAAATCGAAAAAGCCCGAGGAGCTGGTCAAGCTAGACAACTGGTAAGTTTTAGTTGAATGTATTCTCTGCTGCGCGATGACGACGCTGTCAATGCTTCGTCCTGTGTGTTTGTGTGCGCGCACGCGGAGAAAGGGAATGAACGAGCGAGCGAGAGAAAGAAAGAAAGAGAGAGAGAGAGAAAGCTAGGTAGATAGATAGGTAAAAGATAGACAGATAGATAGAAAGAAGGAAAGAGACAAATGCAATATACAGAAAGAGAGAGAGAAATGAGCTGTCGCCACTGCTGACGGGGACATTGCGGCGCGGCCCAAGGGAGGAAACGGCGCTCTACTACGGGGCGCACGCGGGACAATGAACCCGCTTCGTGCTGTTCTCCACGAGCGAGCGATGTGGGAGCGGCAACGCCGCGTGTGCGCGTCCGTATGTCACCCTTGTAGCACCCTATCGCGCTTCGCCGAGACATCGTCGAGATCACCCCCGTGGAATTGTCGCGAAAGATACACTGTCACGTGGTGGATCTCCTCTCGTGAATAACATTTTGTTATAGGGGAGACTTGAGCGAGCGAAAACGTAGAAAGCGTAGATGATGCACCAAAGGTTTTCCTTCTTTGAGAGATATATATTACTCCGAACAGGTATGATGAGGTCGATGCAGAGAGCGGCTAATTATTAGTATTTCTTTAGCAAACTAGAGAAAGTTCAGAAGAGACAAAAAAGATAAATTTCATATATATATGAATATAGAATATTCGTACATTTGTATATATATTATTTAAGAGAATGTTTTATATCTATGAAAATGTGTGTGTATTTTATGTTTTATTATGTACTTGTATAAAGTTTTAGAAAATCTGAGAAAATTTCGTTATTTATACTAATCATTAATTGCGCGCGCGTGCACTGTAAGCATTACTTTTGTAAATGGCATGTGAAATCATGATAAAATAGAGATGTATTGTAGTTTCTTGCTTTTTTTTTGTCAATATGATTATTTATATTTTCTAATATAAAGCATTTATATACGGCAGTGTAATTGCATTCGCGAAAGTTTCCAGAATCTTTAATTAAAAAATCGCATAATTTAAAGATATTGGACAATGAATTTATTAATATAGATTTTTTCATACATTAATCCTTTTTTTTTTTTTTTTTTTAATTTTTTTTTCACCTGGTGCGGTATTATTATTTTACACAACTTGTTCAAAAAACTTTTCCCGATTTAGATACCTAGTATACCCATGGTATTGGCGTATTTTATTTTTTCTATATTCATATATACCTTGCTTTACATTTCGTGCATTTGTCATATTTATGTATTAATAATCTTCTATATCTGTTATAGAGAGCATTATATTAATATAATTAATAATTTTTAAGTTATTGTTCAATATAGAAACATTGAGATATAAAGTGTTAGATCTAGACATTTAAGATTGTGATCATGTGCATAAAATAATAATAATAAAATCTATTATATTTGATAGTTTGTTCGAACATAATGATATACCAGCTTATTTCAAAGAAGGAATACCAAAGGTATGAATCTGCCAAAATATAGATCTCCGAATTTTACTATTATCAATTTTATAGAATTATAAATAAATATTTATAGATTACACACAACTTCTAAAATAATGAAATGTTAAATCTTACCATTTTCTTAAACAATAATATTCTTAGATCACGGGACATTTGAAATTGTGGACCCTTTGGATCTAAGAATCCATGATTTTCCAGGATATTCAATACACACACACACACACACACACACACACACACACATGAATTCTTTAATGAACGTTTAAACTTCTTAAATTCCTCCAGCTTTTTAATTCTTAAAGTCTAACTTTTATGTCAATGGATCTCTCCTTGCTGCCTGCTTCCTTCATTCCATACAATTTCTCTTTGATGATTTATTTCGCAAAGTTGAGCCCTTTGAATTCTTCATTTCGCTTTTTTCATATTTTTTTTTTTTTGCAGAAATCAATTCTTTGAAGCAAGATAACGATAACTTTCGGTTATGCCAAGAAAAGTAAAATCTGATTTATTATATCTTCATTTTTATTTTTGAACACATCACGGATTTTAAAATGACGTACCGGAGTTCTGCAAAGTTTCCTTGTTAGAGTTTCGATCTATCTTCTTTAATTTGCATTTATGATAGTTTTAAATTTATAGAAAATTCCTCTTTTATGCATATGTTATTTTCTTCATATTTTGATCGGGAAAATATGAATTATTTTCATAACGACTCTAGGGAAGAAAATGTCGATCCTACTGAAAGTAACAAGTACAACAAGAAAAACGTTACAGGTGAAAAGTCCTGTGATATGGGAATTTTCGAAACGTTGATTTGTCATTCTCTAGCTTCGAGTGAGCGTGACATGGTGGTATTGCGAATACGTGCGAGAAGTGAAAGTAAAACATTTCTCGCATCTTCCCGACTTTCTCTCGATGTAGCTTTAATTCCTCACTGTTGTCGTTGCCATTCATTTCGTTGGGAGCGAAGTGAAACCAAAGTTGCGGTCGCAAAACCACATCCGTTTTTGACTGCCATAAGGATGTGTTTTTACTCTCTCCTTGCTACACAGTATTTGTATCTTAATCTTTTTATAAATATTGATTATTAATTATTTTCAACAATAATTACATACACAAAAAATATCTTGTGGAGAAAATTAGTCATTTTTATTTTTATGCATCGCAGAAATTAATAAAAAAGGAATATTTTATATATATGAAAAATATTAAAAAGTAAAAACTAACAATTTTAATATATTGTTCGACAAAAAGGATTTATAATCGTGATAATTTTTAATAATGACGAGCACATAACGATCATTTGTTCTCCTCGATTTCCTAAATAATACATCTTTGAAAATATAAATTTATATATATTGATTAAACTTGCTACCCAAAATTAAAAAATTTCCACAGTTCTATATTTGTGTTCCTTCTTTTCGAAATCTTAGTTAAAACTTTCTTCTTGGACTTAGTCTTTGAAAACATTTTCTCTCGAAGTAACATTCTTTTCGTGCTGGCATGTGAGCATTTCTTCAAATCTGTTGTTCTACGTTTATTTACCAAGCTGTATACTTGAAGGGCTTAGAAAAATCGACCGAGTTTTATATAAAACTCAAAAATGAGAAGACAAAAGACAAAAATGGTAGAATACAATATGAAGAGAAACGAGATAAATCATCGAAAGTGACAGATTCAACGACCATCGTAAAGCTGCATATATCGTTGACCTTCCTAGAATCGAGCAGCAATGACACTGCAGCTTGTTGACTCATATCGATACGGTAATTTTGTTTAGTCACTTGTGCTCGTATATATACCATTAAATAAGAGATACTTTCTCTTTGCGGTAAAAATCATTATTTCTTGCCCACGTAGTTCTGTCTCTACACTAGCTGGTATAAAACTGAATCACTAATACCCGTACGTGATTGTGATAGAATCAGGTCTATAAAAGAGAGATATAATTTAATCTTGGTAGGTTTCTTTGTTAACCAAATACAGTGTGTATCGAGCAGATATTTATATGAATCCTTATGGATTTTTGCAAACATACACGAAAAGTTTAGATCAAGAGAAAAAATTTGATAATTTTTGCAAGATAAGAAAACCCAATAGACTTAATTTCTTTTTTGGAATATTAATCTTGTATTCTTCACAAAATAGATTTATATTAATAAAAAAAGAAACTAATTATAATTTATAATATTTAATTTAAATTATTTAAAACTTTAAACGTCGTAAAATATATTCCAGATTATACTTTATCCATTCTTGAACTAATTGCACTTATCGTTAACCAACTCTTGCCTTTTAGACTCGCATTTATTAGGTGTTCAAGGCAAATACTTCGTTCTAATAGAATAGTCGCATTTAAATAGATCGAACAAAGAAATATGAGCAATATTTGGATATTTATAAACTTACATTTTTATTCGCAGATTTTTATATTTCAAAGAAGATTGTTTTGGTCGCAAAATTAGGACCTTGGTTGCATAGAGGAACAGAGGAGATAAAAGTATTTATTAAGTTCATTGTCTATACTGGTCCATTGTTAATTCCGACTATATGCGTTTTGAGACTACGCGATTTACATGCGCGCGTTCCTCCGTCCGGTTTTTCAGCCGGTACTGAAATTGTTGAAACCGGTTTGCGACGAAGCGAGAACTCTCCAAGAACTCGAGCTTAGCGCGCCGGATTTCTGTCGGTACCCTTGTCGAAGAAAAAAAAACTCGTTCCGATTTCGCAGCGATGTCATCCAACTTCTTAGTGCGTTTTGCAAAATTTGCTTTTGATACGACGATTGAAGAATTCCAAGACGCAAAGATTTGCGAAATATATAATACACTGGACCAGCCAAGGATCTAAGAATTTAAAAGCACGCAAGAAAGTTCGGAGACAATGGAATTCGAGACTCTCGAATCGAGAGTTGTAAGAGATACACCAGGCGCGTTTCGCATAACTCGCGTACTTTAATTTTAATGAGATTCTCTCACACATTTGCACTTGCTTTTTTCCTTAGAATAATTAATATATCTGATATACTTGAAAATAAAAAAAGTTATATTATAAAAGGTATTATAAAAGGATTTAAATGTCTAGTCTCGTTAGATTAATATTGAAAGACTTAAGATTATCTATGGTCTACAAGACTTACAATTAGTAAGATTACTTTCAAGACATTAAACAATTCTATAATAGATTATAGATAATTAGATTAAATAATTCTGTGAATCTTTTATTCGTAGTTTAAATACTTTATAAAAAATAGTAATTATTCTTAATTTTCTCTTGACAAAGAGAATTATTTCAATATTGCAACAAATATATATAAAAGAGTTAATTACGAAATTTATTTATAACATTTCTGCAAAATTTAAATTTTTTATTTATTGGTAAAAGTAATTTCTTTCGAGAATAGAGAGTAAAAAAAAACAGATAATGTGGGTTGACAAAATATTGAGAGACAGAATATTAATAATCATTTTAATAAAAGTTCTATAAAAACTTGTTTGAAATTAAACGAGCTAATTAATAAAATTATTAGAAATAATTGATAAAAGTAAGATCATGTAAAAAATAAAGTTTGCGGAAATTTATATATATTTCCCAATTTATCGTTGATCCTCGCGCGAGTGATAAACTCAGATTCTCTCACACATTTGAACTTGCTTTTTTCCTTAGTTAGAGAGGTACCGATAATCTTGGAATTATGAATTATAGAAAAGAATTTCTCGCAAATCAAGATTCAAAAACACGAAGATAAAAAACCAAATTATTGAAATATGTGCTATGAAATTCTTGCTTAACATGTAATTCGGATTAAAACAAAAAAAAAAGATGTATGTATAATAATATTAATATCTAATATCTTTTCCAAATTTTAATAAAACTACAATTTCTAATTTAATTATATACAGGGGTACATAACATATAGAAAATAGCAGAGTTTTATGATATACATATATGATTTTGTTCAAGAGTAAAACTAAGAAAACATCCTCCCCAGAGAATCTTTCATTAAATTTACATACATATACATATAAAATTAGTCAAAAAATCCATCGTTAAAAGAAACGGGATACTTTATACAATACTGATCTATTTTAAGCAATGCGGAGAATCTTCGACAAAAATACGTTCACAGATATAAAATTAGAAGAATTAAAGATTTGGGACGAAATCATATGATCGTAATATAAACATTCTGTACAAAAGAGACAAAAAACAGAGAGAGAAAGATTTTCTCTTACCTCTTTATCCAGATACGTTCAATTCGCTCCTTCTGTCCTGAGTCACATATTCTAAACGAAGGTAGAGCACTATTGAAGAAAGGGCACCAGGAGAACCAGGCCAGAAGAGAGATAGAGTGCGGGTAGGGGGACGAGAACGAGTGCAATGCATCGCGGTCACTCCAGTGACCTAGTAATGTCCGCCGCGACCTTAGTTGCGACGTGTTCACCCGTTTAAACCACCCTTCGTCCCCCTCTTTTCCCCAGTCCCCGTTTCCCCTCGCCATCATCATTCTCCTACTCCCCCTCTTGCTCCCTTTCTCCTATCCGCACCACACGTGACACCAGTATGGCGCGAGGGGGCGAAGGGGGCCAGGCGTGGGATATTCTCGCAAGGTGCGGAAAGGGGGAATCAAGAGAAAGAGAGAGAGAGAGAGAGAGAGAGAGAAAAAGCGAAAAGGGCGAGCAGGGAGAGGATGATATATACAAAACACAAGGTCGCAAGAGAAGTGCGATTGTGTGGACGGCCGTGTCGGTGAAGATGCGGTGTGACGTAACATTCGGCGACGACGCGAACACGTGATTCGCACGGTGGTTATCATGGTGTTTACCATATGACATTGCCCCTATTCACCAATGTCTTTCGTCGGATCTCCATATTGTTTAAGTTTAAAGTCTGTGGAAAAAGTGAGGAATGTGAAATGAAATGGTATAGAATTCGTACAAATCGATCAGTAGACCGAGATAGATTTATAATATGCTCTAAATTAAGCAGCACTTATTTGGAAGAAAAAGGAAACAAGTCCACAAGGTAGTTGCAGTAATCGAGAAAACGTGTTCCATCAAGCTGCGTAATGTGTGATTGTAACGCCGACAAATTTTTAGATATGATAATTTATATATATAATATGAAAATATTATATATATTTAAATATAAAAAAATCAAAGATCTATGTCGATTTACATATAAATAGGTTCAACTTGATTAAATTTATCTATATTTCTGGAAAAAATGAGACTTTTTATGTGTGAATTGATTTTTTTCTCGCGCGCGCGAAAAATGTAAAAAATTCGTCACATTTTAAATCATACACAAGATTTCATATACAGTTCAATGTTGAAAATGTTGCAGAGTTCTATAAAACGATATTTTGGAAATTAGTACTACGTAGTAAATTTGGAACTGGTATTTGAGAAATTTTGCAAAACAGCCGGTGCAGGGTAGAAATCTAATCGTTTCGAGCGGATACACTCTTACCTGGCGATATGCCCGGAAAATCCCCAAAGGTGGAAACGGAGCCGAGATAGAAGAGCCTGGGGACTAAGGACGGAAAAGGGATGGAGTACGGAACATAATCTCCCAGCGGTATTCTCGGACCCTCTGCCGGGGTAGCAAAAGCTCATTAGAAGTCGCCCTTTGAAAATCGTCCTGTTACAAGCAGCTGCCGTACGGCGCAGTAACGGACGCTTCATGGCGCTATTTTTCCAGGTATTCGATTCCGACAATTCTATGTGGAAATTCATGGATTTTTCAAAATTTCTTCTGTAGCTCCTGATCACATACCGCAGTACATTTGAAGTCACTTTGCAAAGTTCAAAAGAAGATGTTGCAAATCTGAAAATTGCGTAAAGATGTTACAAAGAAATAAAAAAGTTGTGAAAAAATGTTACAAAAAAGAGGTCTTTTAAAATTTCGAAACATTCTTGCGCATGTATCTGCACATACATATCTTTAATTTATTATTTAGAATATTTTAGACTTTTTTCGAATAAATTTTTCTAGCAGAAAAGTGTGAAGCATTCTCTGAATTGATTAAAAATGGAAAAGTATGCTTTCGAAATGTAAGATGATTAATAAATCTTTGTTTAATTTTGTCTCGATTTTATTAGATTTTTAATTTTTGTTAGTTTAAAACTTAATTTAATAAATTAATTACGAAGTTATTTGAACTTTTAAAAAGTTTCAATGAAATATGTTAATTAAAACTTTTAGCAAAGTAGATCAGGAAATTTGCGTAATTATTTTTATTTTCACGAAATTTTCACGAAATTTCTTTTTACACATTTACAATTTTCAAAAATTTTATTAAATATTAAAATTTTCCTCTTTTAATGCAGAATTATACATGTATATCACTGATTGTGGTATATAATTGATGCATCTAATATATATGTAATATAATATTCATTTTTTCATAGATATAAAATTCTACATTTTTATTGAATGTAAAATTATTTTTTTCGTTACCTTATCATACTCTTTATTACACAAATATATTACTTTTATATTGGCATAAAATTTGTGCATGTCTATTACAGCACGTCCTCTTGATCTTAATCGTACAGATTTTTTCTTCGTATTAGTTTCGTACTTTAATACAGTTCTTCCGATGCTGTTTGAGAAAAAAATCTTGGGTACACACTGTATATTTCCCCATACAATACGTCCCTGCGCTTCTCTTTAGTGCTTTGTACATTCTGCAGGGACGTCGCTCAAAGGGACGACAAAGAGCCGGTCGGACCGTAAGCCTTGAAGGGCGGCAGCCCTACGAAGGGGAAACGGGTTCCATGCTGCCGCCAAAGTCTTCAATGGGACCCTATGGAATACCCTGAAAAATTTAAGCCTGAGCTTCTGCTTCCGTCGTCGAGGTTTATATCGAGTATAAAGATTTCGCTGAGCTAAAGTTGCAAATTAATCGAGAAATATAGTTTCATATTTAAAAATACTTCCGTATCTAAAATAAATAAGAATTAATATTTTGAGAAATGTATTATCTATTCAGTAGCTTCGTGTAAAACAGTTAAGTCTAGCAAATAAAAAGTATGAGAATAAATAATTAATACATATAAAATAAATAATAAGTAATTAACGTATAAATAATTAATAAGTATAAAACTATAATGCATTGAATATATTTAGCATCCTTTTTCAAAGCCTTAGTTAAAAAAGCTTTAGTTAAAAAAACTCACGTTAATCTGCTCAATAATCCCATTTAGTTAATTCTGGATTAACAATTTATCAATTCTTTCAAATATAGATGTCATATAAATAACATAATTTAATGAATCAAGAGTAAATGAATTCATAAAAGTGGAGAAAATAGTCATACATATAAAATATATCTAGACCAGCGATATAAAATCCTTTTTTGTATTTTATATTTAAATTAATCAAAACTATTGTTTAATTGATTACAATTCATCTTGTTATCTCTTGTCATAACCGGCGTCCATTGAGAGAGATTTTCGTCTTTAAAATTCCTGTCTATAATTATTTATTGGCGCAGAAGGATACCGCGTTTTGCTCGCGCTGAACCCGGTTCGTTCCCTCGTTTCGTTCAGTGACCCTCGGAGGCCGCGATCGATATGTACCAGCTATACTCGCGAGTTTCAATTATATAAACGCTGCACACTCACGTATCTCGTCGTGGCACGATACAGTCGCTCTGCTGCTAAAGCAACACAATTAATACATCTATTTAACATATTCAGTATCCCTGCCGTTATGTACTGTATGTAATATTTACGACATAAAATATTGACGATGCTATAAATAATTCCCCGTAGGAGCGCATATTATCGCACTTCATTGATATTGATCGTTGTGTATATATATATACACAACGATGTTCGATTATATAACGCCGATCTCATCGATGTGGGCGAACAGTTAAAACAAGAAATTCAGATTTCCATCGCGATTCTAGCAATATCAATACATTTGTCTGCCAAATATTTTTGTATCAGTGATAAGACAGATTATATGTAATGAATATTATCATCTTTAATGCTAATAATTATATAGCGATTAATTAGTACATTCCCGCTGAAACCCCTAGATGAAAACATGTGAATATAGAAACCTATATTTCTCCATTAAAATCTAACGAGGAATAATTGTGATACTCGCGATAATTAATAGTTGTTATATATATGCCAATAAAAGATCAAATTTTAAATTTCCAATATTGCGTATATTAAACCGTATTCCTCATAACAAAAATATCTGGAAGTGCAATATTTTTACGATAAAGTTTAAATTTTGCTGAAATCGTTAAAGTTGATTCCAACTTGTTTTAAATAATATCGAAATCATATATACATACAAAATATTTAAAAAAGCACAAATATATATATATATAGTATAACTTATATATATGCAGTAATATCTATATATAATAATATGTATTATAATTTAGCAATATGCAATGTAATTGAATTAGTAAATTCGTCGACAAGTACAGACATTTAATGACTGGAACATTAATTGTGGGGAGAATGTATACGATGATATAAAAACGCTTCGTATTTGCTTCGTATTGCAATTAAGCAACACAATAAACTCTCTAAATTGAGAAGAATACAAAAGTTCGAGAAAAAAACCCCGACGGACATTCTAATTCTATATTCTATCACGTGTTGCTTCACATCTCTGCACGCACGCATGCACGTGATGCGTACGTCCGGAAAAAAAAATAGAAATGAACAACGCGACGGACATGTGCATGCTACATACTCATACTTATATATATCATACGTGTGCGCGCGTTTACATGCATAAGTATACCATTGACCGGGATATCCTCTATCGCCTGTCTCGGGATGAATGAACCGTTACGTCATGCACTTGTACTCACTGGTCCCCTTCCGCAACCCTCCTCTTCTTCCTCTTCCTCCTCCTCCTCCTCTTCCTCGTTCTCTTCGTAATCCTCTCGCCTCCCTTGTCGCCGTCCCATCTGTCTCTCTTTTAGCAGGTTACATTATATAAGGTGCAGCATAAGTAATGGCCTCGCTCGAAATAGATCGATTTGATTGTCACATAATTTTCTTCTTATAACTCTGCATTTCTCTTTTTAGAAGAGCAGATTGAGAATAAATTTAGATGGATCTTTAAAGTGTCTAGGACAATTGAGATGCTAGGACAAATGATTTGCTGAGCGGCTGGACCAGAAGTTACCATTTCGGGTTACCAATTACATCGAAGTTATCTTCAATTCGCAATATTTAAAGGTTCTTTGATTCCTCTGGTGTCTTCTTCTGCTTCAAGTTCTTCAATCTTGAATTTAGAAGATTCTACCATTCTGTAAACTTGCAAATCTTCGGGTAAACCGTTATATCTTTCCCTGACAAGGATTGCATCAAGTAAGTATATCTACAACGCGTCAGTTTAGTTTCAATAACTTCCTAATGATCACCCTGTACTACGGGCTTTCTTTCGTCTATGTATATTTCCCTTTCATTGTCTATCTCTCTCACTGAAGGAGAAAGAGAAAGATCGTGCACACTGTGTTACGCGCAATACACGCGATCGAGTCCGTCCTCTCCTTGCTTCTCTCTTGTTTCGATGTCCTCCTACATTCATCGATTAGCACGGCGGGGGCCGCACGCCGAAGTGAACTATAGATTCGACAGAGGTCGATGCATCGTTTAGACGGTTCAGACACTCGGCAGACGTGTCGACTATAAAACAGCCGGAGGAATGGAGAGGGGTACGGTCGGCGGTAGAACGGTGGAGGAAAAGGTGGGAGCTGGAATGGTGTTGTACCACTGATACACTTTCATCCCACGTACTCTTGTAGACAGATAGATCTTCGCACGGTATCGAGCTATCCGATGATAATCTCGGATAATCGTATGCTTGTATTATATATTTTGTCTCGTCGTTATATTTCTCTTATCCTACCTGAATTCTTGAATTTTTCTTAGTTTATTACATGTAGACCTTGTATTATGATGTCTTTTGTAATCTGAATCTATTCTTCCAGAGTTCCAGTTTCTAATAAATCCTATCTTCTTAATTCTCTTATTATATATTCTTAACTCTGATTAAATCTATCAATTCTTGCGTGGATTTTAATTCCTGGATTTTCCATTTGTAATGCTATAAATAAAGTTCTTGGCTGTAAATTCTAGGTTGGTTCTTATATAAAAAATTCTAGAATTTTTTAAATTCCAAGTTCATTTCTCGATTCCAACTTTTCAGGATCTTTTTACATCCTGCTCTATAAATTCTATAGTAATTTTATTTCTCATTACCACTAACATAAGCATTTCGTTCTTGTAAAACTTATATCCAAGAGATCGATTATTTAATTTATGAAAATATCAGTTTTAAATGGATATTTAATTTTATAGAATCATGAAATATGATATATCTTTATATTACAATTACTAATCTATATAAATATCTAAAGAAAACTACAAAATATTTCTACATAAATCCATAAAATTATAAAAAAAAGATAGAAAAAGTTAAAAAAAAAATATATATTTCAAGATTCTCTCTCTATATATAATATATAATAAACCAACAAAATTAAAACTATATGTATATACTTGTTTTTAACATAAGACATATATAATTGTTTTTTAATATTCTAACACGCGCGATCATAATATTCTTTGTAATTTTAACTTATCAAATATATTTTATACAATCACGAATAATACCGTTTGATGAACCAATATGTATTTAAGCATGTATGTCAGTTATATTTACGTCATATATGGCGTCTTCTCAGGATGTATTCCGCCTTTTCTGAAAATCCTCGTTCAAACTATCCCTCTAAGATGGTCTCTCTGGGTTCTCTTCCCGTGTCTTTCAAATTTGGATATAGCTTCGCTTTAAGACCATCGCTGTTGATTCTACCATGAAAGTCCGGTTTTTTATCCTTTGGGGCGCTGCGCTGTAGCCAAATGTCCAGGAGACTCTTCGATCCAGCATTGGCCTTGTGCAACTGCTTGTTCAAAGGTATTGACACGCTCGCCGGCGGCGACATTGGTGAGTCTGTCGTCGCTCTAATTACGCTAACTCGAGCAGTTCCATCTTCCTTACCGAAACTGAGAAAAATCGATCTTTAGACTTTTAGAGATTCTTAAATCTCTAAATTTTCAAACTTCTTATAGGATTATATTTTCAAAAGATATTTTTAGATATTTGTACTTTTAGATTAAATCTTCCCAATTACTTTTTTTTTAAATTAATCTCTTTCTCTCTCTCTCTCTTTAATTAATCTTTTGATTAGATCTCTATATACTCGAACTTTCCAGTTTCTACTATTCTTAAGTACAAATATCATTTGCCTTGCTCTTCTATAACGACAATACAATTCATTTATTCATTTAATAACAATAAAACAAAAACTTGCACTAAGTTTTAATATAATAAAATTATAATAATAAATTAATTCTGTTTTCTAATTTTTACTAATCTTTTCTGAATAAACAAAAATACATATTATATATTTATAATTTCATAAATACAATTTTTTATAATAACATATTAAGAGAATAACGTCGATTACAGTGCACTATATGTGTATATATGTATGCAAGTAATATTTTGTGATAATAAAAAAATTTTAGTTTATGTTAAAATAATAAATATGTAATTTATAAATCGCATTTTTTTTATTTGATTTTTTCGATTATTTAATTACCTGTCTAATTCGCGTAAAGCCTGATCAAGCTCCACCTTGTCCTTGTCATCTTTATTTCTGATCTCCAATAAACAGTTCAGCACTTCGGTATGTGTAGCCGAATTGTTCGCGTGGTGTTTGAGAAACGTTTCCATCTCGTCCCATAGCAAACGATAATGTTCTTCCCTGCGTACTCCTCCCTTCCCGCCGCGACCACCACCGATGTTTGGTAGCGGCAACGTCTCGTGCTTCGCTTCCAATCCGAGTACACTGAAGATTACTTGCTTACACTGTAACACTTCATCCGTAGTTAACTCTTCCTTCACCATTAGTTCTGCGAGCGGATCTATCACCTATGCAAAGAATTTAGACATTTAATATTAATAAGATCTCTAAAACTTAAAATTTTTCAGTACTCAAGATCTAATATCATATCATTCTGGATTCTAAAATAATTTAAATTTTCTATATTATATTAAAACAAATTAAAAATTATTGGAGGATATTTTAAGATTAAATCAGAATATATTAAAAAGTCTGTTAATTTTGATTATCATAATTTATTTTCTTATTAATTATATTATTAGATATAAAAATGAAAAATGTTCTTAACTCTCCTTAAAAACGTAATTTATAATTTTCTTAATACTAACCTGTTTTAAATTGAACATGAGAGTACTGGAAATAGTCATGGGCCAATATTTAGTATGACGTTCTAACCTTGATCTCATTTTTTCTACTGGCCCATCATCATTAGAATTGGAAATACGTTTAAGTGGTACTAACACGTTATTTCGCATAAGGAAACCAAAATCCTGTAATAAAAATATTTCGAAATCAGGGCAGTTGTATTTATTATCACAAATTAAAAATTTCGCATTTTATTTATAATAAAAAAGAAAAAAATATCAATTTTTCTCTCTATTAAAAAAAATATATATAATTAACATTAAAACAGAATGATTTATACAGAATTGCTATAGAATTAACTGATAACATATACCTATATGCAAATTTTTTAACAAAAGATAATTAAAAATAATAATTACAAAAATGTCCTACAGTTATTCTGTAATCTGTAACTCGTCCACCACAGCCTTCGCTAATTGACGGAGGATCCTCTAGTACACTTCTAGCAGTGGATAGAGTATGAATAAAAATCTCTCCACCATGTGCTGCCAACAGATGAGAGATAGTCTTTCCACCAGTCTTCCTGGCCATCTCCAACATCACCGATCGTCCGTTTAGTAAAAAATTGATTAAACATGAAGACGGCCTACTGTTGACGTCAACCGGCGTGATGCGATGCATCGCCGTGCAATACTGCATCTCCGATGCGCTACAGCCACGCGGTGTACACCATTTTAAAGTAACCGTCTCATACTCCGAACCTTCTTCAAAACGTCTGAATGTTTTTATCAACGCTGAATCTTGCGGATTTGCTATAAGAGAAACTCCATTATTATTCTCAAATTTTAAGATTTTTCAAAAAAAATTATTAAGGAACCTTTCAAAATTGCAGTATGTGCGGAGGAGGAGTGAAATATCTCGACATCGTAATTGGCGGAAGAACTGGCGTTTTGCTCCTCTTTCATGGGTATACCTGTCACTGTGGTGCTGGCTAGATCGTAGTGAGATAAAATCAGATGCGATAACTTAGAATGAAGCGTCGAGGCCTTAATCGAATGCACTTCTACTGTTAGTAAAGGTGATATCTACAAAAGAAAAACAATAAATTTAAGCATTATCTTCACGATATATATATAATATAGATTAAATAGCATTCAAAGAATTCATAATACAGAAAACATTTTAAATTGTTTAAAGCTAAAATCGCACATAAAAAATACTTTTTTTTTTATAAAAAGGTGGCAAGAATGTAAAAACGTAGTTATGAATCATTAAGAACATACCTCTCGAGGGCCTTGACTAGTGACTTGAGATTCAATGTTATTGGGATATATGTTCAATATAACCAAGTGACAATAATCAATGGGTATCAAGCTGCAAATCAGCACAAGCAAAAATATTAATGTTTAAAATATTGTTGCGTAATGATTTCATGAAATGACCAAAAAAGATACTGACTGATCCGAGGCTAGTGCAGTCTTATTTTCCTGTGCAAGTTCATTTAGAAATATATTCTCCAAACTCTTCATATTGCTGTTATCACGTGCGCTTGTGATACATATTACCCTACCCCTGTTTACCAACTTAGTAGTGTTCTCATTCAGAGAAGTCCTTTTCTCGTGTTGTATCTCAGAGCATTCATTTAGAGTTTCAATCGCCACACGCAAACCATGTATCACCGAATAGTCTTCGCCGGGATCCGGTGTCTTCATTGGCACTCCCAAAATGGCAGTGCCATTCATTATCTGTAAATGAAATAAGTCACATATTTTTATTATTAAAAACATATATTAATAGACATTTAAATTTTAGTAATTACATATAATATCAACGTGTTTATTATTCAATAAGTATATAAGTTTAAGAAAACACTTACATGATTCAAATTCTGTTGCAACGGGCTCCATGAGTTCAATACATAAGCAGCACGATCAGTAACCACGAATCTAATCTGAAAAGAAACAACATGATATAACGAGACATTGTAATGTATCCAATGTTAATGTATCCAGTAACAAAATTTATTGAGAAGTGTATACCAATTTGCCTGTGGGAAAGAGATCCCATACAATACGACAGTACTCCAACGAGGCCTCGACGCTGGTAGTCCATAGGGATTTGCAGACCGGTGCTAGCGGAATCAAATTCTGTCCCCTACTTTTCAGAAAGTCAAACTCCAATGGACACTCGGTGGAAATGCCAAAGTACGGTGTGTGATCCAGTACGAATATGGTCTTGTGATTCGCGGGATACATTTTCTCGCATTTCTCACTTACAAACAATATACAATAAATTATATTTTCTCACAGAGCGAATCTTCTCGTTCCTGCCAATTTACTTTTCAACATTTTGAGGTTAAATCTAATACAAAAATCGCGATATTTGCAATAATAAAACCATTTGTTAAATTTACCTGATATTTTATCAAATTATTCGCATATTATAGATAAAATCATCTTTTTTACATAAACCAAAAAAGTTAGAGAAATATGTAAATTGTACATAATACATCCGACATTTCCTCCCGGTTTCTTTCATACAATCTGTGAACCAACGCTTGAAGGAAAACTTGAATCTCGCACGCAATTTACGTACAACGTAATCCGCTGCAATCCAATGTAAGTATTATTTTTTATTTTTTATCGCCTAAAAATTATTTTGTTTGAAATTAAATACAACTGATTTTTTTTAGAAACTCCGCTTTTTCATATTCGTTCATCTCGTTTAAAAGTAACAGCTATTTTGATCATACAGTCGTTCGCGTGTAGACGTAGACGTACGGCGTATCTAACTTCCTTTTCCATTGAGGTCTCCTAGTGGCATCGTATAACGTAAGGCTTGTTAAATTTTTATCTAATTTTTTGTATTTTCCTTGTAGAAAGTAAGGCAAAATAGATTCGTTACAAGCGTTATGAGCATTCCGAAAATTTTATTTCCAATAAAATTGCGATTAGGATAACTATTTTTAGTAGCCGGTTTGTAAAACGTATATTCGATTGCACGTGGCATGTTTTATAATTTTTAAACTGTGTTTTATATGTAATTCTATGGTCCATTTTTTAAGCATATGTTTTCGAATAAGAGAAAGCAATTAATTATCCAATTCGATTTGTATATAAATTTTGTAATTAAAATGTAATAGATTGATATATCGTTTGATTTTGAGGTTATGTATATGTACTTCTTTTCTTGGCGCATTTTCCAGATTTAATAGTCTTATTCATTGCATTAACTTCTATGAATTTAATATATTTATAGTATCGAATTTTATTATTTTTGTATATAACTTAATTGCCTATAAAGATACAGCCCTATGATATATATATATATATATATATATATATATATATATATATATATATATATATATATATATATATATATATATATATATATATATATATATATATATATATATATATATATATATATATATATATATATATATATATATATATATATATATATATATATCATAGGGCTGTATCTTTATAGGCAATTAAGTTATATACAAAAATAATAAAATTCGATACTATAAATATATTAAATTCATAGAAGTTAATGCAATGAATAAGACTATTAAATCTGGAAAATGCGCCAAGAAAAGAAGTACATATACATAACCTCAAAATCAAACGATATATCAATCTATTACATTTTAATTACAAAATTTATATACGAATCGAATTGGATAATTAATTGCTTTCTCTTATTCGAAAACATATGCTTAAAAAATGGCCATAGAATTACATATAAAAAAACGTTTAAAAA